CTCCGCTGGAGACATGGAAACGCTGCTGCTTTGCAGCTGCGTTACCCTGCTCCCTCGGGCTTGGACCCCTAATAAACTATCTACAAATTAAAACCTGAACTAGATTGGATAAGCAAGGAGACCTGAAGTGTTTAAAGAAGAAAAAACAGTTTTGGCCATGCCTCAAGATTTTTATTAAGATATGTGTTGTGTATGACTCTCAGCTACCACCACATCAAAAATTAGCTCAGTATTTGTCAAACTGACTAAGTTGCAGTTACAGAGCGCGTCGCAGCCATCCTTAATTCGATTGACTCTAAAAGTTAAACAATTGTAGCTGCACGTCCAATGATTGCTTTCTGAAGGTTTTAATAAAACTTCATCTTGTGCTTTTTGAGATATTTTGCTAACAGACAAATAGTGTTAAAGCAAACAGTTAAAGCGACAATTTTACACAGTGATTACCTCACGCAACGAGCTGCTTTTAAAGCGTTCTCTGTGAATGACTCTCAGCTACAACTGCAACCTATTTTAGCAAAGTATTTGGAAAAGTGACTGAATTACAGCATTTTTTCAGTTTTCTAAATTATGTTATCTGTGTCGGCCAAACAGGTGGTTCCAAAACTTAATCAGTTGTATTTGTACATCCAAAGATCATTTGCTGAAAGTTTCATTAAAATCTGTGCAAAGGTTCATGAGATATTTTGCTAACAGACAATTATGCCTTTCGGTGATTGAGACCACATAAACAGGGCCTCGCTGTCCATAGTTGCAGTTTTTAAAAAACTGGACTAAATTAGTTATAAGAGACGTTTTGGGAAAATGATGACATCACAGCCGCACCTGAACAACGTTTGTCAATAATGTTGTCTATTGCTGGCAATACACTGACTAATCAGAATAAATAAATAAATTAAAAATAAAAAACAGGAAAAAAGGTTGAACTCTCTCTTTTACTTCTCTTTCTATAGACTGTGGTTTGTAACACAAATGTTCACGTTTGCTTTTGCACCAATATTACCTTCAAACATTTCTGACCGACCATCTTGGACCAGCAACATATTGACCAACGCTCATCCAATAAAACTTGTTTTGTAACTGTGGTGAGTTATTATCCAAGTTGTAAAGATGTTGTAATGTTTTTTCTCGTGTGTGTGTGTGTGTGTGTGTGTGTGTGTGTGTGTGTGTGTGTGTTAGCAAAATATTTCACGAACCACTGCACGGATTTTATTGAAACTCTCAAGAAGTAATGCCTGAGTTTACATCTAAAACTGTTAATTGTTTGGAGTCAGTATAATTCAAGATGGCCGCCAAAGCTAACTGAGAATGTCCACCACAAAAGCATGCCTAACTTGGTCAGTTTTACAGATATTGACGTAAAACTCAGCGTGGTAGTAGCTGAGAGTCGTTCACAACACATACTCTGACCGGTGGATTGTAAAGCAAACGGAGCGCTTTAAAGAAGGTGACCAACATGACACAAAAATAAGTTGTGTGAAAATCCTTCCAGGAATTGCATGGTGTTTTTGTTCAAACTCTGTAGCAGCCACACGTTTCTCTATGGTAACAATAGATTCCCTTTTTTATTTTTTTTTGCCACTTCAGTGGAAAGCAGAACTTAATATCAGAATATTAGTATCTTAGCTTCTTCATCATCAGTGGCTTTTTTTTAATAGAAAAAAAAGAAAGAGAGAGAAAAAAGTGAAATGTAATGAGAAAGAGTGAAAGAGAGATTAGAAGATATATTGAGAAAACACAAGACAGCACACCGACAAACAATAGATTCCTAAATAAGACTTTCTTCTTTTTTTTTTCTTTTTTTTTGTTACCAAAGTGCTAAGAAGCAGCACTTTGAACACCACAGAGGCTTCAGTGGGACAATGAGGTTATTCATTACACTGCAGCTGTAACAGTTCCTCATGTATGTTCGGCTGGACTGAAAACACACATCTGCCTCAGACTGAAGATACTCCAGGGTGAAATTCCTCAGGGGGCCGGCGGAGAGGAAACGCCGTTAAACAAGACGACACTTGAGGAAAGAGGAAGCTAAAGTACACAGAAAGACCGCAGTCTGTTTGCAATAACCCCACAGATCGAAAGCAAAGTCACAAACCAGGAGGAGGGCACACAAACCATGTGAATTTTTACCATTTTAATGAATTATTACCACAGCTGAAAGT